TGGTCTGTACTATCTTGACAAGAAGGTGTTAGCTGCTGCAGCTGTAAAGCATACATCTACCGATATATATAGGATGCATTGTCGTGCTGGTCACCCGCCACCGAACATACTTCGGCGTTTATTTCCTGAGTCTAAGTTTGTGAGTTCTTTTCAGTGTGAAGCTTGTCAGTTTGGTAAACATCATAGAGTCTCTTTTCCTTCCCGTATTCAGAGTCGTGTGTCTAATCCATTTGAACTGGTTCACTCAGATGTTTGGGGTCCTTGTCGTGTGTCTGATGTTTCCGGATTCAGATATTTTGTTACATTCGTGGATGATTTTTCCCGAATGACTTGGTTATTTTTAATTAAAGACCGTACGGAGATTTTTCATTGCTTTCGATTATTCTATTTTGAAGTATTGAATCAATATCATATCTCTGTCAAATATTTACGGTCAGATAATGCTAGAGAATATCTTGCTGCAGCTTCTGGTTTCCAGCCATTTCTTGATTCTCATGGTATTATTCATCAGACTTCTTGCTCATACACTCCACAGCAAAATGGAGTCGCTGAACGTAAAAATCGACATCTTCTTGATGTTGCTCGTTGCCTTATGTTTCAAATGCATCTACCTAAACATTTTTGGGGGCATGCTGTTCTTACAGCATGTTATTTAATTAATAGGCTTTCAACTTCTGTTCTCCAGGGGGAGACACCATTCTCTACTATACATCCAAATCATTCTCCCTTTCCTTTGTCTCTTCGAGTCTTTGGGTGCATCTGTTTTGTACATTCTTTTACTCTAGGTCTTGATAAACTGGATCCTCGTGCTGAAAAATGTGTCTTTGTGGGATACTCTCGGACTCAGAAGGGATATAAATGTTATAGCCCTACTCGCCGTCGTATGTTCGTGTCCGCTGATGTGACGTTCTTTGAAGACCAGCCATATTTTACTTCTCCTGCGGTTTCCACAAAGTCTGGTGATGGTGATGGTTGTGTCATACCGACGATTCCACCTCCTTCACTTTCTCCAGCTACATCCACAGGATTTCAGTTTGCTGATCGTACCTATCATCTGCGCAGTGCAGTCCCTCCTATGACAAACAGCCTTTACCAAAGACTCGATTCATCCGTTCCCATCGCTACGCTGATACCAAACTCCGATCCCGATCTTCCCATTGCTTCTCGTAAAGGTACACGCTCTTGTGTTAATCGTCCTGTCGATCGTTATGCCCCTTATTCTGGTCTTACTGATTGTATTCGCACACATCATCCTATTTCCAATTTTCTATCCTATAATCGTTTGTCTCCTACTTTCTCTGCCTTTGTCTCGTCGTTGTCCTCTGTTTCTGTACCTAGCAGTGTTGCTGAAGCTCTTGCTCATCCGGGATGGCGTCGTGCAATGGAAGATGAAATGAAGGCACTAATTGACAATCGAACTTGGAAGCTTACTCCATTACCTACTGGTAAGAAATTTGTTGGTTGTTGTTGGGTATTTACTGTTAAAGTTCACCCGGATGGCACTCTTAATCGGTTGAAGGCACGGTTAGTTGCGAAGGGGTATACTCAGACTTATGGTGTTGACTATGATGACACTTTCTCCCCGGTGGCCAAAATTCCATCGGTTCGTGTATTTATCTCATTGGCTGCACGATTTGGCTGGCTACTACATCAGCTGGATGTGAAAAATGCTTTTTTACATGGTGATCTGGCTGAGAAGCAACCACCTGGGTTTGTTGCTCCGGGGGAGAATGTGGTGTGTCGTTTATACAAAGCTTTATACGGACTTAAACAATGTCCTCGTGCTTGGTTTGGTAAATTTAGTGATGCAATTATCAAATTTGGATTAAAGCGGTGTAAGGTAGATCATTCAGTTTTTAGCTCTATCTCTTCAGCTGGTTGTATCCTTCTAGTTATATATGTGGATGACATAATCATTACTAGCAGTGATTCAGATGGTATTCACAAACTTAAGCAATTTCTGCATACAGAATTCAGTACTAAAGATATGGGACGTCTTCGATATTTTCTTGGTATTGAAGTAGCCTACTCACATGTCGGTATCAATTTATCGCAACGAAAGTATGTACTGGATATTCTTGGTGAGGTTGGATATCTTGGAGCAAAACCAGTTGATACCCCTATGGAGCCTAATGTAAAACTTGATGCAGAACATGGAGAATTATTGCATGATACAGCGAAATATCGGAGATTAGTGGGTAAGTTGAACTATCTTACCGTCACAAGACCTGATATATCATTTGCTGTTAGTGTAGTAAGCCAGTTCATGAATTCTCCTCGTACTACTCATTGGGATGCCGTACTTCGAATTGTCAAATATTTGAAGGGAACACCAGGCAAAGGATTACTGTTTAAGAATTATGGTCATCTAAACACTACAGGATTCTCTGATGCTGATTGGGCTGGATGTCCTATAGATAGAAGATCTACTTCAGGATACTGTGTGTTTCTTGGAGGTAATTTAGTTGCGTGGAAGAGCAAGAAACAACACGTAGTTTCCCGATCAAGCGCTGAAGCTGAATATCGAGCTATGGCACATGTGACAGGTGAATTAATATGGTTGAGGATGTTACTATCAGAGATTGGAATGTCACCGTCAAATCCATCAATATTATATTGTGATAATCAATCCGCTATTCATATTGCATCTAATCCTGTCTTGCACGAGCGAACGAAGCATATTGAGGTTGATTGTCATTTTGTGCGAGAAAAAGTTCAGAAAAGAGAGATTATTCTTCAACACACGAAGACGGAGGATCAATTCGCAGACATCTTTACTAAATCTCTACGGGGAAATAGAGTGAATTTCTTATGTAACAAGTTGGGATTGTTTGATATCTACATCCCAACTTGAGGGGGAGTGTTGGAAAGTATAAGGGTAGAATAGTAAATTGTTCTAGTAGGGTTGAGCATATATATATGTAACCCTTTTCTAATTGAATAACACAGAACATTATTATCTCTTCAACATCAACAAAGGTGTCCGTCCAATCATCCCCGCAGATTGTCTACCAATTCTCAGCGACATTATGACTAGATGCTGAGATGCCAACCTAGATGTCAGGCCTCCTTTCGCTGAAGTTGTGAGAATGCTTGAGAATGCAGAGACTGAAATCCTGACAGCTGTTCGCAAGGCTCGCTTCAGGTGTTGCATAACCCAACCAATGACTTTGGATTGATTCTGAGTTCTCAGGAAATAAGGCCATGGCGACATACATGATACAAGGTCTTGAAGAAGAAGAGAAGGGTTCTGACAAGAAAGTTCTATTTAATCGTCTGCCTAATGGGTTTCTTATGATAAGGGAAAATCTATTGACTATATCAGTGGAAAAACGTGAATGTCGGGTAATGCTTGTTTTTTAACTGTAGTCGAAGGTGTTCAATGTGTGTATACTCGTGTTCTTTGCTTATACGTCACCGTGACTGTTAATTATGCTGTGTACACTTGATTGAGGAGTCTATTTGATTTTTACTCAAGCGTCCCAGTTTACCAGTGGCCAATCCAAATTCAATGGCATGATATTCATGTCACCACCAGTTGCGTCCTCTTAGTTTTAGGCATGACTGACACAACCAGGACCATGAAAGATAGTAAAGCAACTTAATATTTGCTAAATAGAATTTTCACGAGGAATCACAAGAACAGTTGCATATAAGAGAGCGGTGTGGGAATCACAAGCGGTGCTTCAGATTTTCCTGGAAAAAAGGGGGAGGAGGTGCATTCATGTCCAAGAGGCCTACTATCTGTTGTGACTCTTAACCAGAAAGACCCGTCACCTATGGAGCATGTCAATCTGTATATTCTTGTCCAGATGTTTGGAGTCTTGTCCAGATATGTGTGGCAATCGTCTATGCGGAGATTAGAATGGTAAGGATGGAAGGATTTGAGTCCTGAAAGTACTTTCTGACATGGTTTCCATAGTGGGATTGCTAGTACTACTTTCATATGTCTACCTTGGTCTTATATCTAGTTCACCCTACCTGGTTGGTTACTCTTGTTTTCGTCAATCATATGAATTCATGGTACACATCTATGCCTATTATTCATCAATCTAATTCTCCATTTAAGTTGATTTGGTATCATTTTGGTACTCTACGCATATACCAAAAGAACAATTAATTGAGCTCCCTAGAACATTAGATAACTTCAGTGATGAAGCATTCATCTGACAGGAGAAGGTTCGGAAGATATCAGACATTGGAAACGAGAATTACTTACCAATATCAGTTTTTCATCTCGAGTATAAAATAACATTGGGCTGGGTGAGAAGAGGCTTCAATGGTGATTTTTGATGCTGTGACCATAGTGGTAACAGAGGATACTGGTGTCACTGTCGTCAACTGTAGGGTTCTAAGTACAACTCCGACTCCTTCACTTTCAGTTTCAGCCATGCTCATCAACCATTTCAAGCCTAGGTATGACATTCACGGCTTTAACCTGGGTGGGATGGGTTGTGCTGCAGAATTCTTGGCAGTAGATCTGGTTAAGGACCTTTTGGGTGCCCATCCGATGGGTGATCTACATTTGGTACGATAGCAATACCTCGAACTGCTCCTTCTGAATTGCTTCTTTTGGATGGGCGGTGGGTGGGGTTGCTGTTTTGCTTTCTAGTTGCCGCCTCGCACGTATGAACTCAACCGGTTCTTCTCTGCTCTCCATTTTGACACACTTCATCCACCAGTAAGACCTTACAAGATGTTTTTGGTCGAAGATTTTTCATCCACCAGTAAGAATTTACATGAAGATTCAATAGTTGCTTAGTGGCACTTTCAAAACAATTTGTTTGACAAAAGGGAATTCAAGTTAATTATTAAAACACACTCATATTACTCCATTTCCTTCTTAATTGGGGGGTTGGTCAAGATTAAAAATCACTGGTCTCCCGTAGGAGAAAGAATATCTCACAAAATTCAGCTGTATCACACTTGACATGATATCATCCATTCAGTCATTTGTCCTGTTTCCTTTCCCCAATAACCTAATGATCGGATGCACAAAATTAAAACAGAAAACACAAATCCATGATTTCCACCAAAAATAATACTAAACATTACAGACAAACTCCCCTCAAAACATTGCAGAATCCCACGGATGCCTCATCCTAACAACACAAACAAATCCGATCTTTGATCATTTTAACCTACTAAGCCGCTTGAAATAATGAAGCAAAAGATAATGAAAGGTTGGTTGGGCTCTATCTGTAGATTATGTACTTAAAAGAAAAAATAATAATAAAACAATTGACAGTCACGCCTATCATCTCAATATGGCCTTCTAAATGAATGTGTCGGGAGGCACCTCTTCAGGAATCTGTTTGATAGAGAAAGAGAAAAGGATTAAAATAAGACTATAACCAACCATCTACACATGATGAAAGTATTTAGCCGTTTTATGTTGCTACCATGTGACGCTAATCTTTTACCTCTCCAGGGCGCCATTTCTCTTTCAGCCAAACACTGGCATCTCTTGATTCATGCCCGCTCTGACGCACATTATTTCTGAAGGAGAAGGACCAGAGATTGATAAGAAAAGCTCACAAATCCGCAATGTAAAGTAGGCAATCATTAGAAGTCACTTTCTTTTAAGTGGAGTCTTTTTTAGTGAACAAAATAAATGAAGATCACCAATGTGAATCGTGTCAAAGATCTTATATATGTAAATTATATGTTGAATTTACAAACAATTAAGCAGACCTTATGCATCATTTAACACCACCTGCGAGCTAAATGAATAAAGAGATCAACATATCCTGACTGAGTCAAAACTGTTGCACACCAGGAATATTATATAACTTTTACAGCTTATCAACTTAACTTTTTCTCGTTTCGCCAAAATCAACTGAACTTGTTTACTAGTGAGATTGATTCCAGCAGAGGCTATAATCGGAGTGTAAAAAGATTATGGTATAGTACTGATACATTAGATGGAGTTAGTATAAAACATATGAAACAAGGATTCTTGGGATACTTACTTTTGTTGATCATCAACAGCTTTTTGTCCAACAACAATGTTGAAGTTGTTGTTTGTTGGATTCAGCATTTGTTGTGAGACTGTTAATGCACACAAGGAGTTAGTTCCAGCAATAAACAGCCACTATTGTTAAAGCTCCATATTCTGATAATAACTTCCATAAAATGTTCAAGTTGGCCGGACTATGGCAAAAACTCAAACCTATGCAATGCTACTAATTCATGCAAGTTCATTATACGAATAACTAGATCACATGCGAGTTAGATTAGCCAGTTCTTTATTACAAAGGCTATTTGGAAGATGTTCACGAGGAGGTATCAGAGATCCAACTATCTTTTTTTCTGTGCCGGAACGGTTTGTGGGTTGGGAAGAAAGTGGCTAAGAATTTAAGTGATTCCGTGAACTATAAGAGCTGATTCTGCAGCAGAGTGATGATACGATAGTTTTGACTAAAACAAGCTTCTACACATCAAATATTGAATAATCTAAAGAAAGGACCTTGATCAGAATCCAATTTTCTTGCACAGACCAAATTGGGAACTGATCATGACTAGGTTGATCACCAGAGGAATTGCTTCTGAATCTCTGATATCTCAGGATGATGGAACTAATTGATCGTGCTGAAGGACATCTTTATTGACCTTGCTTTACAGATTTTATCTTAAGCAAAGAATTGATAGATAGCTGGAAAGCAAATTTGATCGGTAGTGTCTCTTTAGGCTGGTGATTATGCCTTAAGAAGAATGACAAGCTAACAATGGTAGGTTCTATGCTTCACTGGCTAGATAAACAGCACAACCTTGACAAAATTCCCGAAATCTGAGAATGTCAACAGATCTACAATGCACAGTCTCGGAGAGAGAGAGAGAGAGAGAGAGAGAGAGAGAGAGAGAGAGAGTTATGCCTTAAGAAGAGTGACAAGCTAACAATGGTAGGTTCTATGCTTCACTGGCTAGATAAACAGCACAACCTTGACAAAATTCCCCAAATCTGAGAATGTCAACAGATCTACAATGCACAGTCATGGAGAGACAGCGAGAGAGAGGGAAGACACGGCCTAGATTTGCAGATAGAATAAGCTTAGCAAGCCCACAGAATTCCTTTCAAGGGATCAATTTTGCCAAGTCATATTTTTCTCGATGGAATTACAAATTCCAATGAAATTACTAAATAATCTAATATTGCGTCACCTTCAAGTCCTCAAAGTGTCATCTAAGATTCTTAAAAATCTAGAAAACCTTTAAAGTGAAGTATCACCGAATGCCCCTTGATGCTCAAGATCTGAGGACAACATACATCTTATTATCTCCGGAACCAACTACATTTGAGAACTGACTCGACCCCAGATTACTCAGGCTTTAATTTGAAATGAGTTGCCATTGTTTGACACAACAAATCACAGAAGAAAAAACCAATTCTCTATCTGCGTTAGGAACATAGAAGAACAGTTTCTCATAAACGAACCTGTACCTCCAGAGGGCAAATAACTTTGACCAAATGCACTTGCGTCTGCTGCAAAGTTGAAGAACTTAGACTCCCCGAAGCAGTGTTTGAAGGCACATAGGGACTGGAAGGGGAGCAACAAGGTCAGTACAAGAACTCAAGATGAGCATTGACACAGGATTTAAAAGAACCAGTATAATCCACTCATCTTTTTGCAACTAATATTAATTCAATACTTTAAAGAGGAATTCAGATATTGCCTCCAATGACTACCTAACAAAGTGGAACAGGAAGATTCTTGCCTTGATCCCCCCGCATTAGATGATGCATGAAGCACACCAAAACTCGAGGCCACAGATTGGCCAGTATTTTGAGCTGATAATGAGCATGTATTTGCCCCAAAACCAAGGCGTGCGCTTTGGCTAGCAGTTGAGGACGGTGGAGCCACGTATGGGCTACGGAGCAAATTCTCAAACTCAGTCAATTTGAAGTTAAGTGCATTCCTCTCCCTCTCGACCTGTAGAGAGAGATTTGCTCAGTCATGGCAGCAATGGAATGAAAATAGCCTATTTCTAGAACAAATCAGTAAATTTCTTATGATGGTTTTCTTTTACACCCTCAAAATTGACAAATCGAACAAAGCCACAGCAGCACTCCAGTTTCAGACCTCTCGTGAATGTCATAATCCATTTCTTAAAGCATGTGCAAGTTAGTTAAGTCACAGGTTGTAGCTTCTAAAAGGTCATGGATGCCAAGTAGCTGCTTTTGTCAAGTCAGTCCACACAGCAAGTCATAACAGTTGAGTAGTTTGGCAAGTCTTCCAGAGCCTCTGTGAAGTTTAAATTTATTTATACGTAGGCTTCAGAAGTATTTAACAGAATAGATACTTCTGTTTACTTATTTCTCTTGCCACTAAAAAATCAATTAATAAATTAAAATCGAATCCTCAAAGTTCCAACAGGCTAACTGTGTCCAGCAGATGGACATGCTCGCAAGTAATGTCTGCAACTTCCCATAATCGCCGTTCTATCCCAGGCATAAAGATATATGTAAATGAAAATAGCACATCTTAAGTTTTAAGGTAAAATAGCAATACTTGCTTCCCACCACGGCAACACCATCTCACACATCTACAAGAAACTGTAACAGCTTCTAGCATCAGTGCTAGCTTAGCTTGTCAATTGAATCCACTACTTAAGCAATTTCATGATTACCTACTGAGATTCAATTTCATACACTCTGCACTATAAATGTAGGGGGAAATTTTAATCTCATGCTTATAGCTTCTGGAAATGATAAAAAACAGTATTTTGTTCATGAATTTTAATAGAACATTGTGTAGCCTTCCAACAAAATGATTCACTCAAAGAAAGCAAGCTTCATTTCTTTGGATGGCAATGAAGGAGGGAAAAGCAGAAAGTGGCCACCTTTTGAAATTGAAAAGTCAAAAGTTAGGTTCATCCATCAAACATCTACTGAGAAAATTTAAATAAAAATTCAGCACTTCGAAAGGCAAATTCATCCTTGTTGGAATTCGAAAAAGGTCATGCTCTAACAAATACCGTAGAAAGTAGACATACATTACAATACACACACACAATAATATATATATGTACTATTAAAGTTATAACCACCGAATTTCAGTAAACGTGGAGAGCAGTCATATCAATCGGCTAACCACGAAGCTATCATACATAGCAATCACAGCATTTCCTTCACAAAAGAGATGCCTTCAAATGTTTAATTTTGCCTTTCGCCCATGCCAGCAACCAAATTTTCAATTCTTCAATGTTAAAGACTAATGACCTCAAATCGATCATAATTATGTCTCTTTATTTGCATATGTAAAAGCGAAGTTTATGAGAAAGAGAACTGCTTCAGGACATCAAGAATATACAAGAACAGAAAGCAAGAAAGAAATGAGTTCACAACAAGGATACATTTTTAGCAACCTAATCAGATACTTACTTCAATATCTGCAACATAGTAAAAGGCTGCATATATTGTTAAAATTTAAATACCACAATATTGCATTATTAAATTTGGAAAAGTAGCTGTTCTGGTCTTAGTAACACTATTGCTGATGCAAAGACAGTATCAGAAAGATAAATAGTTGTGCTGTGTAGCGTTCAGTGGTTGCCATTCATAATAAATAAATGATCTTATTTTGAAGGTAAAGCAAAATTTGATTAATAAAGGTACTTAGTGGGTACCGCCACTATACAAAATAAAGTCAGATGGGAAGCCAAAACTTAAGAACAAAAGACTAATTTTATAATTGCCACATAACTGGCTTAAAGCTGAAAGAATCCCAAGACAATACTTCTTCTTGAAAAGCTCTCATGTTGTTTTCTGCTGAAATGAGCCTAACAACAAGGAGAGTAATCATCTCAACAATTTTCTTCTTCCCTGAGCATGAATAAGTTCCTCTTGTACTGTTCTCACTGCAACCACTTCACTCCTAAAAGTGTGAAAACTGTAGTCCAAATCTGTCTGATTCATCTATAATCTAGCAGCAGACGATGGGTCACTCTTTCCACTATTCTGACAAAAGAAATGTATTTACCAACACTTTTCGTCTCTTTTGAAGGTTATCTGTTTATACAAATAAGTCACCGAATTTAACTGGTGAAATATTGATTGGTCACTAAGAAAATTTAATAGTTGACAACCTACTCATGAACTTGACACTGGTTACTTCATAAGTCTATTGGTACCTTACTAACACGTAATAGGCCAAACAGCCTTTGGTCACCTCATTTCCACTAATGCAGTTTCAAAAATTACTAATACATATTTACCTAATCATGAACATTCAGCCTGTGATTTAGGCTATGAAACACTAAAATTCTGTAGTACAATGATAAAATGAGGCAGTTAACTTCTTACAATTGACTGCAAGCTCAACCCGCGCTTAGCATCATCATATGCTGCAGACCGCAATTCTTCATAGCTAATGTCGCCACTAATATCGCATGGAGCACTGCAGGTAACAATTATCCAGAACTGTGAATTAAAGCAACTGTCCTTTTGGATTTTATGCATTAACATCTCTGTTCACCAGATTACATTCCACAAAGCAAGTCCATAAGAGCAGCCACTCTGCTTGCAATATGCAGAAATCAAAGTAAATGAAAAATAAATAGCTTTTGATCTCAAGATTACATCTTTAATTTGGCCATTAACCGGATAACCTTGACTCTAGATGCTTTTTCCAATTTTGCTTCCATCAAAAAAACATACATGCAATATACTTTTAATGCTTAAAAGTGTGTGGAATCCTACTTTTATCTTATAAATGTGTGTAGAATCCTACCCTACCGTTACCCGTTTGTCAACCTAGACATTTAATGCATACGTGGATATTGACCTGTCGCTATTGTGATATCATCAGATGATAGAACCGGACACTGCATCTCTGGACAGCGCGTCTTCTTATTGGATACCTAAACCACCTTAAACAACTTTCTCTTATCTTATTCTCAACTAGCCATAAAAAAGTTTTCTCAAACATATATTATTCCAGCGAAGCTTTTTCTCTTTTTCTTTTCCTGAGTACATGCATGTTGATAACCTCGACTGTCCTGCACTCTGTGGTACTTAACACAAGCAATACTAGGTATAAATCATACCATGACAGTTCAAAAGAACGACCCTTGAGCTTTGGAACAGTCCTAAGTTGTGCTAGTCATAGGCTACATTAACATCCCTCCCGCTTATACTGTGGGGGGACATAATCTATCAATATTTCCGTCTCTTTAGGAAATGGATCTATGATGCTGGAAGCCTGCAATCACTCGCTGCTTAGTACTTCCAGGCATACTTAACACTGCATCATTCAGACTCTTTCTTCACAAAATTGCATAGATCCCATTAATCTAGCTTTACCACTCCCTAGCACACTACCCTGTTGTGCTAGAACGAAACTCCCCGACAAAGATGTGATCCTGTATAGACAGAAACTTCACCTTGCTCTTGCCGGCTTAAAGCACATTGTATTGAAACTTGAGGCCACTTCTTGACAGCAAAATTGCTAACCATGATTGAAATTGTGAAAATTAGGACTCGATGACACCAAAACTAAATCAACCAAGACACCATTATTCTGCATTAAGCGCAAGCTCACGCAGCACACACATATATTTGTAGATAAAATAAACGTATATTAGAATTTATCTAAGGATGTTACAGATAAACATACTATTTGCAATGACCATAACATGTGAGCTTCCATGACGGTCTTTCATGCTCAAAATCTTCGACAATTAATCGTTTGCAGGACTCCGGATCTGTGCATCTTTTCAACAAGGAATACATAATTAGGCACGACTTCTCAAATCAGGAAAAAGTTGGACGTAGTTGTCAAGCTAGTTGGAGGGAGTATGATTAGCAAAGCACTTGCTTGTGATTTCCCGATTGAATTTGATTATCAGGGTGATGAGATGAAGTGGCCGAAGCATTAGAAATAGGAGAGAAGCGAGTCCACTCATTTTCGAAAGGCTGATCCAGATACGAGATAGATGTCAGAATGATACCAGAATCACGAAACCAAATTTGTCAGCATAGCGGGGTGAAATTATCACCACTTGTAATATAAATGAAATCTTCATCGTTAACTGGCCAGAGATATCACAACCAACTCAATTTTCTATTATACAAAGGGAAAAGGACCTTGAACTGGTTATGCTGCAACGCAAAATCAGCAGCTGGTCTTGGCTGAGAGCTACTCTGAACACCAAATCCAAAAGGATTGGGCTGTTGCTGTTGGTTTGTGCCACTATGCATGCCAAATCCATAGGCATTAGGCCGGGACTGCTGCTGAGTTGGATGGAAAAATTTACACCTTTCACCATACTGACAGCTGCAAGAATCCAAATTGACATCAGAGGTGAAGAGAAGGTACGTCCAACTCAATCTAAATCATAAATCGATTAGTTCTTCATGCTACAACACTTGCCTGGAAAACCATCTTAAATCGAAGTACGAATAAGCGATAAAGTTTTTTATGCTACTGAGTACATTGACATTCCATTGACAAGGAGATAGAACACGAGAGAGAGAGAGAGAGAGAGAGAGAGAGAGATGGTACTCAACTCAACTCAACAGTCAACACAATTGAGTGACAAAAATCATCAATGAATCAATCGATCGATCGATAAAACAAAATTGCTTGCATTACCAAAAACCAAATCAAGCCTAAAACAATATCATAGCGTATATTCAAAGGAAACATGTCATTCAAACAAACAAGCAAGGTTCCGTCACAAGTGATTCGACGAACACCCATTGGCAATCACAATTCAAGAACAACTACGACATACACTTCTGATACTCAATGTCACCTTCTTATACTACTATCTATTTCGATTACCGCAAGAGATCTCCCTCATTTTCTCGCAACTTGAGCTAGGAACCATACAGCTCCAATTAAAGACGATCTAATTAGCGAAAAATAGTCACAACATCAAGGAAATTCAATGCAGATTAGCTTAGGCAGAAAAAAAGAAAATCAAATTGAAGAACAGAAGCAGCGCGTGATGATTAAAAGTGAAAAAATGTGCAGAAGTTCAGAACAATAAATGCTCTTCGGCCTCATTGAAGAGGATAGTCTTCTAACTCCCCCAAACCACTAGCTTCCTTTCGTTACGGGCTTCGATCTTCTGTGCAATGAAGGCCTTCGATTTTCCCAATGCCGTTGCCACCACCCCTTCGAAAGTTGAAGCCGATTGGGTCGGGCTTGTATTGGAAGAGATTCTTGTCAACACCCAAATTTTTGTCGACCTTTTAAATATCCATTTATTTCGCAAAAATATAAAAAAAATGAAAATTAATGAAATGATCAAAAAATAAAATGAAATCATGTGGGCCAGCGCGTCCGGCTCGCTTAGCAATTTTCGGCCCTTTTAAATGATAGGCCCAACTTCTCATTTCTATTCTTTCTTTGGGCCCACTTTTCTTCCCTTTCTTTGGTCCCATCAGAACTAAAATGAAAATGAAAAGCCCGGCCCTTCCTCTCCTTTTTTTTCACGCACACGCTGCCCTCTAGAACTGCTAGCTGGCGTATGGAGAAAAAAGGGGGTTCTAGTCGAGAGTAAACAGAGGGAGAGAGCGAATGATAACCATTCTGCTCTAGAAATCAAATTCTTGCCAGAAATTGATTTATTGAATTCTTGCCAGAAATTGATGTTTGGAGGAGAAATCTGTTTGATAAAACATGACTAATTCTGTTCCAGAAATTGATTTTTGGGGGAGAAATCTATTTTATTTTTTTATTTTTTTGGGCACCTAAAAATATTTAAATTTCACTCAAAGTGGGTGTCCCACAGGTATTCTAAGCCATTCTGTGAAGTTTTGAAATTTTTGATTTTTTGATTTTTTTTGCACCTCAAAAAATTTAAATTTCACTTAAAGTGGGTGCCCACAGGTATTCTAAGCCATTCTGTGAAGTTTTGAATATTTTGATTTTTTGATTTTTTTTTGGGCACCTCAAAAAATTTAAATTTCATTCAAAGTGAGTGCCCACAGGTATTCTAAGTCATTCTGTGAAGTTTTAAAATTTTTCATTTTTTGATTTTTTTTTTGCCATCTCAAAAAAATTAAATTTCACTCAAAATGGGTGGTCACATGTATTTTAAGCCATTTTGTGAAGTTTGAATTTTTTTGATTTTTTGATTTTTTTTGGGCACATCAAAATATTTAAATTTCACTCAAAGTGGGTGTCATAGGTATTCTAAGTGATTCTGTGAAGTTTTGAATTTTTTGAATTTTTTTTGGAAAAAATTCAATAAATTTCCTATTTTCCCGAAATTTGCTTTTTGTGAGACCGTAGGCACCTTGTACAGAAATATGATCGATCTGTGATTAATAGTGTTGGTTCAGGCCTTTATATGTCAGGATTAAGACTCAAATCACAATGGGTACGAACCTGAAACTTGCATTCCGAAATGCGCATCACATGTTCGATAGAATGTTTGAATGATATACCGAAACTGACTTAGTGCAACCGGTTGTGCGATATCGTTTTGATCTGCTTTTGGTTTATACTCTCTTCATTGATTGACTGAATCAAAGCTACTGCCGAGTTTCTGTTCATTTTATGTCATTTTCGTGCACTACGGCGCTGGACGTCCATGAATATACGAATCGGAGCAATTTAATGAATTTCCTTGACCCGGTGATGGCCTTGGGTTAGAGTCCCATCAGGTTAGCCCCTTGCTTCTATTCCTCCCCCATGTCTATGTGCAGATTCAAAGATTTTTGGAACGAATTCGGGTGAGTGGGCTTCGGAGGAGGGAGCTTCAATGAAGAAAGTGCAGGAAGTGGTCGCCGGAGATGGTCTGGTGATAGACGGATTAGTTGTTGATGGCGGCGCTTAGATGATCCGATGAGGATAGCTCAGTAGTGTTTTGAGCTTTGGCTGAAAATGGTATTTTCTTCAAGTGGAGGTTGTTGCTTCGGTGAGGGGGAGACGTCTTCGGGAAGAAGATGAAGCAGGGGCAAAAGACAAAAGAGAGAAAAGACAAAAACAAAAAATTTGGAAAATCAAATAATATATAAAAATGTTAAAAAAATCATTTTAATCCGACGCGGGTCGGATCAACGCTTCGGATCGGGTAAACGGTCCAAACACGTTCCCCGAATATAATAATAATAATAATAATAATAATAAATTATTAAAAATAGGGAAAATTTCAATTTGGGGTCTAAAGTGGGGCCATTTTCTCAAAATGGGGTCCTAAGTGGACTTAGTGCCAAATTGGTACTCAAAGTCCCCAAAAAGTGTCAAATAAGGATGCGGTCGCCGTACGCCAAAATACACCCGCTACCGGCGATCCCGTGACTTTCCCAAGAAAAGGAACAAATTGTTTTATTATTTTTTTTTTTCTTTTTCCTGTTTTTTTCTTTTCCTTTTCCTTTTTTTTTTCTCCTTTCCCTCCGCCGGCCATTGCCGGGGCCGGCAGAGGTCGCTAGCCTTAGGCGGAGGCGGCCCTGGTCGGCGAGGGCGACCCAGGGCCGGGCGAGGGTCGCGGTGCTTGCTTAAGGCCATGATTCAATTCTGGTATACCACGCTCGCGGTGCTTGCTTAAAGCCGTAAAGAGTTTTCTTCAATTTGTAGACAAAGCCCTCTTGTCCTTTCTTGACATAACCTTCAGGTTGATCCACATACACTTCCTCCTCAAGTACGCCATTGAGAAATGCGGACTTGACATCCATCTAGTGTATTTTCCAATGTTTCTGAGCAGCCAAGGCAAAGATCATACGAATGGTATCCATTCTGGCAATCAGAGCAAATACCTCAAAATAGTCAATCGCGGGTTTTTGTTTGTAACCCTTGACTCCGAGACGAGCCTTCAACCGATCAACATCACCATTAGGCTTGTACTTGGTCTTATAGACCCATTTCACACCGATGGACTTTTTGCCTTCCGAGAGAGATGTGAGCTCCCACGTATCATTTTTCTCAATCGCGTGGATCTCATCATTCATCACGCGAACCCAACCATTATCTTGGGAAGCCTCCTGAAACTTTGTCGGATCACAATCTGCAAAGAGAGCAAAATTGATAGTTTCTTCGTCAGAGTGATCATCATCATTGGACAAAACACAATCCTTCAAACGAGCCAGTAAAACTCGTTCTCGCCGTGGACGTGAAGAACTTTCGGCAAGATTTTCGATAGGATTTTCAACGTAATCTCGATGAAGAAACCGCCGTCGAAGTCTCTACTATCGAATCGCTATCGAACCTGGTTCCACCGAAGCCGCTACTGGTTCAGATTGACTATATGAATCGGGCTGAACCGTCTCCTCCTCATCTAGGACAAAGCGAAACTGCTTCTTAATTGGAATTTTGAGAAAATGGCCCCACTTTGGACCCCAAATTGGAATTTTCCCTTAAAAATATAAAAATTAAAAAAATTAAAAATTCCATAAGATTCAAAAATATTAAAAAATTTCGAAAATTGGTAAAAAAATTTAGATAATCAGAAAATTCGTTAAAAATTTGAGAAAACTTTGAAAATTTATAAAAAAATTAAAAAAATAGAAAATAATAAAATATTTTAAAATCTTAGAAAATCAATAAAAATTAGAAAATTCTGAGAAAAGTCATGAAAATTTGGAAATTCCGAAAATCACTAAAAAAATCCAGAAAATTTAAAAAAAAATTTAAAATTTAATTAAAAAATATATTAAAAAATTCAGAAAAATCATAAAATATTCACAAAAATTCACAAAAATTTCTAAAAAAATTAAAACCCAAATTTGGACAAGCCTTTAGGGCTTTACAATATGTTTCTTTGTTTTGAATTGTCTTTTTTTATAGACCATCTTAAGATGTTTGTATGTTTCCTTTGTGATTATAGTTGGTTGCGCTTTTAAATACCTTGGATGTTATTTTTGTTTAAGAATGGTTAGGACGAAAGATAGAATTCTTCCGAAGGTTGCCATGGCGTTAGTTAGTATGTGGTCAAATTAGGTACCGAAAGGGTGTTAATCTTAATTAAGGCAAACGTAATCAAGTCCCCGAATCTAGAATATTTGATTGCGTGAATAGTAAGATATCCTCTTGTATCTTACTGAGTTTCTAGTCGACTTCAAAAAGGCTAGTGGCCACTTCTTTGTTAAAATTTGCATAGACTTAATCGATTAAAATTTTGAACATCTGATGTCGCGCGAGGTATGGGCTTGGGAGACAAGTCAATGGATGGCTATTGGCCCGAAATTGACAATACCCCTAAACCTATTCTCTCTCTTGCGGGAGGTTAGGTCGTGACAATTCTAACCTCTATTCTCACTCCAGAGTTCAAAATCGAACCCTACCCACAGATTGTACGCGGGGGTGCCAGCACTCTAGCGACGGACCAATATAGCATAGTGCAAACACGACGCCGGATTAGTTCATGTGGGATGCTTTATCGTTGTCATGTTGCTGAAGATAATAGTAATGTTCACTGGAAATGCACCTAATTGTTTTACCCGAGTTGATGCTTGGGACCTAGTTAGAGAATGAAGGCCGAAGGTTGTATGTCTTTAAGTGATTTGGGTTAATCCAAACACTCCAATGTTCTGTTTCGAAGCTTGATTAGCAATCTTGAATAGGTTGCAGACCACCAAACGCCAACATGCTTTGAATCGCGATTTAGATAAACCAAGTCACTTTCGTAAGCGGCAGGGAAGTGGACAAGAGAACAATAAGAGAATTATTAAAATTTCATACATACTTTTCAAGCAGACAATATGTACTTGACAAGTTTATCGCTAACAAGCTCACCCAATTTCCAATAAGACACCACATACCAATGAACATGGAATCAAATCTTAAACATGCCCCATAAGAACTCAGCAGTTCAAGCGCAAAAGTATACAATTACCAAATTTCGTGAGGTCATCAAGGATCATAACGATCCTATAAATTTAACAATCACTTGGATAGGTGGCCTAAGCTAAGATATGGTCATAATGACCTTAAGATTTGGCCTAAACACTTAGAGTTGGGACTCGGCATTATATGGACCAATCAAGGCGGGCCATTTCGGACTCCATAACGAGCCTAGAAGGTTTAGGCGCCACCTTGGCCTAAAATAGGCGCCACCTCCTCATGGATTCATTAAATGCCATTTAAATATGGCAAATGAGGTGTTCCAATAAAATGCGAGCAAGCAGGCCATAATCGACGACCCTACAAAGTAGGCGCGCCAACTCGCAATTAGGTGTGCCACTTCAGCCTTAGATTGCCAACTCGGCGTGCTAAATGGAAAGAGATGATTGGCCCGTGGAAATTGTCATCATAAGGCTTGAGCTTATAAATAGCAAGCCCTTCATTCTTTCCCCCATTCTTAGGCGCCATTCTCCCACTCCCTCCCTCTCTTTCGCCCTTGCCTGTTTCTCTCTTTCCTCCTTAGACGTGCGACCACCAAGTCTTCGGTAACTCTCGAGGTCCGTCAAGGCTGTGCGACCGCCGCCACTCCCAAGTGAAGTCTCTTGGATTCTTGAGGTTTGTCCAGGTAAGTAGAATTCTCTATTTCTCTCTAGGATTGTCATTTACACCGTTAAGTCTAGACGGTGCTCACTCGTCAAGCCGTGGATAGGATGGATGACTGTTATGTGTGATTCGTTCATGTGATGTCTTAACTGTGTGCTTGAGTCTTACACCACCGGAATGAAGCCGAGGTTCGTTGCTTGAGTTCAATGCAAGGCAAGGTTGCCCAGAGCCATAAGACCATGAGTCGGTATTGAGGCATGCCGATTTCATGTCTTGGATTGGTATGGGAGACTTTGATACTTGGCAATTGGGCTAAGCCTCGGACTTAGGATCGTTCATGGTATAATGAAAATTAAGTCCTTGCTGCGCTTTGGATGTGTGAGTTTGTATGTGTTCACATCGGGAGCGAGGTTGAGGTTCGTTCGACTTGGAATCGACGTCAAAGATGTGATGGCCCAAGCCAAGAGGCTTTGGAATCGGTATTGAGATATGCCGAGCTCAAGTCTCGCGCGGTGCGGGGATCGCCCAAGGCTGCGAGGTCTTGGATCGGTATTGAGGCGTGCCGGATCCTAGTCTTGTTTGATATGGGGATCGCTCAAGCCCACAAGATCCTGGTGCGACGTTAAGGCGTGCTGTTTCCAAGTCTTGTTTGGTACAGGGATCGGCCTAGACGTTCGGTTCAAGCCTCGAGCCAAGAATCGTGCCCGGCATGCTATAAAGTATGATATTGAAATGCATGGCACACACGCTTACGTGTGAGAATAAGCACGCCCTTTGGGCCATGAAAGAGTTGGCTAATGATATAGATAGGAATCGGCCTGTGTGATGCACTTTGTGTGGTCACTTAAAGAGGAAACTGTCTGTCGCCACAAAGCGTTGGTGGCGATGCCTCATTCATTGAACGAGATGCTCTGGTTGAGTCAGGATGCCTGGGTTCAAGTCCCGAAAGCCTCGGGAAGCTAGCCTCGAGAAGTCTCGGTCGAGTCGAGATGCCATGGTCGAGCCAGGAAGTCCAGCATGAAGCTGGAAGCCCTAGTCGAGCTGAAAGGGCCTGGTCGAGCCAGGATGATGTTAAATGAATCCTGTATGAGTGCCGGTTATGCATAAATCTAGCTTGCATGTGTTCTTGCATTAGCCGAAGGTTAAGTAAGTAAGATTCTTGCGTACAGTCATGGCGTAACATTTGAATTGCTATTGATCTGTCATCGATACTGTTTGCGCGTAGTTCTGGCTAGTTTTAATGGTGAAATGCTTTTCTAGCCGAGAACTAGGAATTTTACTTACTGAGTTCTCAAGACTCACTCCTTTACTCTTTCAGGGTTGTAAGTATAGCTAACCTGCCATTTATACGTTTTGGCTTTCCTGTAATTGTAGAAGGGTCCGTAAGGTTGGAAGCCACAGCTGTAGCGGAGATAGGGACACCTTGGCCTTATGTTATCATGTAAATAATATAACCGAAGTCATGATACGTACTCAATTGCGTAATAAAAGAAGTATGTTTATGTGACTTGCTTCTCACGTTCTTCCGGTGATGTTTGTCGGGGTTTATGCATTCACATTTCCGCATGTGCTTATAAGCAAGATAAAATGAATCGGGTCGGCGACAAGCCTAGGATGTCGCAAATAACCCGTAGCTCAGACCCCGGGATGGGGTCGTTACAATAACATATGCCTATAGGTAACATATATATAAACTGGTTTAGAAATAGAGATAAACGATTAGATGCAATTCAAACATAGAGGCATCACAAGCATCGCAAATTGGTAGGCCACTATAACACGAATTATATGCCTGTAATCAGTGTTGAATGTTAACTATCAACTCAATGACTTCAAACCCCTGCTTTCATATCAGAAACCATTAATAACCAATTCAGATGCTCATAAGACAAGGCAACAATGTCATCTCAAGAATTGGTTGTTTAGTACTGACTATCCTCTCTTCACACAACCTTAATAACAATGTCATGTTAACAAGTAGTCAAATTGCCTTGGTCTTTCCATTACATCTAAGACATGTCCAACTAAAACTTCTGTCAAATCTAACATGCAAACCTGTAAAATATATAGCTTTGCATCTAATCACAATTTTATTGTATTGAAATGGTGAAATCTGATGTGTAACAATAACAAGTTATAGGTAAATTTGAAAATTTTTATAAAGAACACTTACAATAGACACATACTCCACCAATATCTTGGCAAGAGTGTGATTATAAACAGCTTTCTGAGCCTTGGACCTTACTCTAAGTTCTGCATTTACGAGTTGAGAAAATTTCAGATTGATAATGCGGTCACAAGCTCAGTCAATTACAAGCGTTGAAGCAACTTTCTTATGTATCTCGAAGGCAACTTTCTTATGTATCTCGAAGCTATTTTGAAAAATCAAGTGAGGGAAACAACTTAAGTAAACATCAGCTCGAAACAATATTCAATGTATTTTTGCAGTCCTTCACGAACTTAAAGAACTATTTACACAATCCAACGAGATGAAAAAGAAATAAGT